TTGTCACAACGTTGTAGAACGTCCTTGTAATGTACATTTCTCAACCAATTCATGTTCTTGTTTGGAGCAGAGACCATGACGACAGCTAGTGTGCATCCCACATTATTTCTAAATTAGAACTGGTTGAAATGTCATGGAATAACGTTTGTAGCAACGTCCAGAATACGTACCAACACCCTCCTGCCGAGTTACACTCGCACCTTCCCCGACAACGTTATGTAGTAACGTTTTAAAACGTTATTTCAGGGACGTTGATTACGCATATAGGCCTATATACATATTTTTCTATAGAAATTGACACTGTATATATGAAATATACTATAACATAATATGTTTAACGTATAGCCTTAAGTAATTACGCCATGTTATTTAAATGTTATTATTGTTATTTCTGTCAATAGTGTGCAACGTTCACAGAGACGTTGCGGAACGGGCATACTCGTAAAATACCATTCGTGTAGAGGCAGAGACCATGACGATTGGTTGCCTATCAACAACATTGATAGTTAAAACTGATTAAAATACTGGATATTAACTCAAACAAATGTAATAATACATCATCTTGAAAATCAATTATAACCAATATTGCTAAACAAATGTTAGAAAAAAATGTACAAACACAGTCTGATATTTATACATCCATTTGTTTTCAAGCACAATGGACAGTGCTCTCTGAAGAGCTTGATTGATGTAACGGAATCATTCATGAAAAGTTGCTTTCTAGGAAGATGCCCTAAGAAGGCCTATTAATTTATAAGAGAGTAATCAAGACTAAACGGTTGCCATTCCTGACAGTATCCTACCTGTTGATGGTAGTCTTAAGCTGCTGATTTTTGACATATGGAAATATGTAGCCTTAGGCTTATAAGTTATAGTTACAGTATAAGTCCTTGTGAGTTTACATTCATTAGTTGCATACCTGACCTGTCACACTCGTGGTCTATTTCATTCACTACGTCCTGCACTATTGTCATTCGAAACTGTTGCTGTTCACAGAGCTTTTCAATTTTGACACCCATCTGTTTAGGCTCAATAATAAACAAGTCTTTACTAGTAAAAAAAAAAAAAAAAAAAAAAAAAAAAAAAAAAAATATAGCTCCTAGGTACTATAGCCCGCTTACACTTAACGCCAGCTTGGTCCGACATGGCCTTGACTCCCATCTGGCTAAGAATGAAGAAGGGGAGAAGGGAGAAGCTGGTGGAGAAGGAGGAGGGGGAGAAGCTGGTGGAGAAGGAGGAAGGGGAGAAGAGAGAAGGTGGTGGAGGAGGAAGGGAGAAGCTGGTGGAAAAGGAGGAAGGTGGTGGAGAAGGAAGAAGGTGGTGGAGGAGGGGAGAAGCTAGTGGAGAAGGAGGAGGGGAGAAGGGAGAAGGGGTTGGAGAAGGAGGAGGGGGAGAAGCTGGTTGAGAAGGAGGAGGGGAGAAGAAAGGTGGTGGAGAAGGAGGGGAGGAGGAGGGGAGAAGGTGGTGGAGGAGGGGGAGAAGCTGGTGGAGGAGGAGGGGAGAAGCTGATGGAGAAAGAGGAAGAAAGATCGGAGGGGAGAAGGGAGCTGGTGGAGGAAAAGGGGAGAAAGGGAGAAGCCTGGTGGAGAAGGAGGAGGGGACGCTGGTGGAGGAGGGGGAAGAATGGGAGAAAGGTGGTGGATGAGGAGCAGGGAGAGCTGTGGGGATGGAGGGGAGAAGGGACGAGATAGCGCTAGGAGGCGGGAGAAAGGAGAAAGGTGGTGGGAGGAGGGAAGAAGGAAGTTGTGAGAGGGCTGAAGCTGGGGGAGATAGGAGCCGGAGCGAAGGAGGGGGAGAAGGAGACTGGTGGCGGGAGGGGGAAGAGAGAAGGGATAAAGGGAGAGGGAGAAGGGGCTGGTGGAAGGAAGAGGGGAAAGAAAGGAGAAGTAGGAAGGAGGGGGAAGAAGCTGGTGCGAGAAGGAAGGAGGAAGGGGAGAAGAGAGAAGGTGGTGGAGGAGGAGGGGAGAAGCGCTGGTGGAGAAGAGGAGGGGGGAGAACCTGGTGGAGAAAGGAGGAGGGGAGAGCTGGTGGAGAAGGGCGAAGATGGTGGAAGGAGGAAGGAGACAAGTGGTGGAGAAAGGAGGAAGGAGGAGGGTGAGAGCGGTAGAGGAGGAGGTGGAGAAGGAAGAAGCTTGGTGGAGAAGGGGAACTACGACCAGCTTCTCCCCTCCTTCTCCACCCAGCCTTCTTTCTTCCGCTCGCACACTCTTTCTTCCTTCTCCACCTCCTCCCTTCTCCACCAGCTTCTCCTCTCTCATAGTCTCCCCAACCACCTCTCTTTCTCCCCTCCCCCTTCTGCCAAAACACCTCCCTTCTCCCTCCTCTCCGACCAGCCTTCTCCCCCTCTCCTCCCATAGCCTTCTCCCGCCTCCTTCTGCCCAACCACCTTCTCCCTTCGTCCCCTTCTCTCTTCTCGCACAGTTCTCCCTTCTCCCCTTCCTATTCCTAGCCATATTTGGTTCGGGCATACGGCCGCGTGGCGTATAGGCCATATTGCCATCTTATCTACACGGCCACCGTGCTATAGTCCCCTTCCGTTAAAGGCCGCTGTAATGAGTTTCCATCCTGTTTGGCAGATTTTTTCACAATTCCTTGAGTTTTGCTGTGCCGTCATCCACCAACAACGGTGGTCACCCCTTACATTCAATAACCGCCCCGCTTTAGATCCTGATGCACTGAGGTGTATAATTGGAATGGAAAGTGTACAATATGACATTCAGTGTGTTCAGGCGCAGTGAAATACTTGAACATTTACATTAATTCTGAAATTCAAAACAAACCTAACTGCCCGTAGCTCTGCTCGTCGCATATAGCCCGCGTACAGTTGCGCTGGCGGAGCGGCCCCGGCAGCGGCAACTGTACGGGGCTATATAGTACAGAG